CAGTTCTAAGTGGGAATGCTTTCAATTTTTCCCCATTCAGTATGATGTTGGCTGTGGGTTTGTCATACATGGCTTTAATAATTTTGAGGTGTGTCCCATCTATGCCTATTTTGTTAAGAGTTCTTATCATAAAAGGGTGCTGAATTTTGTCAAATGCCTTTTCTGCATGTATTGAGAGGATAATATGGAAATCAAAATATTTTTTCAACTAAATGATCGTGGAGATACGAATTCTCAAAATATGTTGGATATGGCAAAAGCAATTCTGAGAGGAAAACTCATAGCCTAAATGCCCACATCCAAAAGACAGAAAGGTCACAAGTCAGCAAACTAATCAATCATCCCAAGGGACTGGAAAAGGAAGAGCAATCTAATCCCAAACCCAGCAGAAGAAAAATATCCAAGATCAGAGCAGAACTAAATGATATTGAGAACAAAGGAACTATATGGAAGATCAATAAAACAAAAAGTTGGTTCTTTGAAAAAGTAAACAAAACTGGCAGGCCTCTTGCTAGATTTACCAGAAACAGAAAGGAAAGGACTTTAATAAGCTCAACTAGAAATGAAAAAGGAGAAGGCACAACTGATATCACAGAAATACAAAACATCATGTTTGAATACTATAAAAATCTCTATGCCCCAAAACTTGAAAATATGGAGGAAATGGACAAATTCTTAGAAACACACAGATTCCATAGGCTCAATCAGGAAGAAATGGAATTCCTGAACAGACTAGTATCAAGCACAAAATTTGAAGCAGCAAGAAAAAATCTTCCAATAAAAAAAGTCCCAGACTAGACAGGATCACACTCTAAATTTTACCAAACCTACAAAGAAGAACTGGTACGTATACTGAAGAAATTATTCCATAACATTGAAAGTGATGGAATACTCTCCATCTCATTCTAGGAAGCCAATATCACTTTGATAACAAAGCCAGGAAAGGACACAACAAGAAAACTATAGACCAATGTCCCTTATGACTATAGGTGAAAAAATTCTCAATAAAGTCTTAGCCAACCAAATTCAACTGCACATCAAAAAAGTAATTCATCATGACCAGGTGGGCTTCATACCAGATACTGAAGGATGGTTCAACATATGCAAATCTATAAATGTAAATCACCATATAAATAAAAGTAAAATAGTGTATTCTAATGATTTTATGTATAGTGTTTTACATGTATTAATTAGGTGTTTACTCATACATTTTGGATGCTTGATTTCATCAGTTACTGAGAGAAATTAGGTTTACATTTTTTTTTTGTAATCATATATTTTTCTATCTTTACTATTCTTTTAATTTTGGCTTTATGTATTTAAATGTGTGTTATTAAGTGAATACCAATTTGGAATATTTGTATCTTCCTGGTAAATTGAAAAACTCTTGTCATTATGAAATGTACCTCTTTATTTCTAATAGTGCTTCTTGCCTTAAAATCCACATTTCCTGCATTAATATAGCTTCAGAATCATCCTTTTGGTTTGTGTTGGCATCCAGCCCTTTAATCTCTGTGTCGTTATATTTTTATAGGTCTTTTTTTAGCAGCATATTAGATTTTTAATAAATACAGATTCACAATCTTTGTCTTTTAATTGATGACCTAACTTTGTATACTGGAAAATAATTTTACCTAAAACATAAGGTAACACTTTGGATGCGGGGTATAAACTAGTAATCCCAAGTCATAATCTAAAAAGAATAGTTAATATAGTGAAAGTGGCAAACAAATATGGCAAGACTTTCTGAATGTCACTTTACTCATAGTGATATAGACCACAACGTAGCCTGTGAAAAACATTCAGGAGGTTCCTATCATAGAAGTAGCAAATCATTAGAATGTTTTGTCAATTCCTAAGTAATAAGTTTACATTTTTCTTTCCCAGACTCAATGCTACTATCAAGGAAATATTGAAGGATATCCGAATTCTGTTGTCACACTCAGCATGTGTCCTGGACTGAGGTTATTTATTTTCTACCATTGATTATGGAACACCGTAGTTATGCTATTTGGCTGCTGTGAATTTGTTCTGTTTATATTAAGTGTGAGAGGATTCCTATGTGGAGATTATTCAATGATATCCTGCTCTGAACATGTTTCTAATTCTCTTTTCCTCAGTTTCTTCACTGAAAGAGACATTTCTAATTCCCTCAAAGGTTTAGATTTCCTGGCCTCTTTGCTCTCTTATTTTTTCTTAATCATGGAAATGACAATTGAACATTCTTCATTATAAGAGTGGGAGGAGCTATGTTTGAGATAGTTAAGTCACTGACTTGAAAAGCAGAGGAATTATTAGTACTTGATCATTGTAATAGTGGATACTTGTACATCTAGCAATTGATAAGGTAATTTCTGCTGATTTTGCAACTATAAAAAATGAAATGGAAATGATTTTGTGGATTAGGAAAATCTTTTGTCTCTTCAGAATCATCACTAAGCATTTGGATCAAAATACTGGACTGTAAATG